ATTCTTTACCCGAAACATTATAAAATTGATCGTTTATTTTTTTAGAATTTTGTGGTTCAGGAAGATCCTCCATATTTAATAGTCTGCTCGTGTAATATGCTTGTGGGTGTGCTTCAGTTGAACGTGATTTATGAAGAGATCTATTATATTCTTCTGCTTCTTCACATTGTTTACGATATTCAATATTGAATGGGTCACATGTTTCAAAAAGGTCATTTAATTCATCGGCTGTAGGTCGTTTTAACGGATCTGCGTCTAAGCATCGGTCAATTAATTGACTGATGAAAGGCGGTAGCTTAATATCAATAAATTTGGGTCGAAGTCCTTGACAAATTTTCATAGCAAGAACTTCATTATAAGGCATATCATTAAATGGTGGTAATTCTGTAATGATTTCATATAAAATCATTCCAAATGAATAAATATCAGCGGCTTTGGTATACGTCTTGCCCCTTAAAACCTCGGGAGCTACGTAAGGTAAAACTCCATAAAGATTATTGTCGCTAACCTTCTCATCAACGGGTTTGCATAAACCTAAATCCGAGATGTAATATTTACTACCACATAATATATTGCCTGAATGAAAATCCTTATGAATAAATCCCCTATCGTGAATTTCTTTTAATCCCATCGTAATATACAAAACCTTATCTAATTTAGTCCATATATTTAATCCATAACCTCCAGTATTTAAATTTTTGGAATGTTCTCTAATATTTCCTTCCCTAATATATTCCATGATTATAATGAAATTTTTTGTTTCTGGATCTTGAGAGATACCATAACATTGAATAATATATGAATCAGCGAATTGTTTAGTAAATGTAATCTATGATTTTTAAAAATCAAATTAATTCTTTTTTGTTTTACAAAAATAAAAATATAAAGGCATCGATAAGTTAGTTACCTCTTGAAAAAAATCTCTCGAGATATTTTGCGAATTTTGTAAAACTTTTAAAGCAATTTCTTTATAAGGAAGTCTTTGCCATTGGTTACTTTCCTTATCCCTACACAAAATACATCCATCGATCCAAATCCCTTTAAACACTTTGCTAAACCCACCGCTTGCAAGATATTCAACATTTTGAATCCTGTCAAAAGGTATCCATTCTAATATTCCATGACTACTGGTTGCATTTAATTGACTCTGTTGAATGAATTGATCAATCTCTTCATTGCCACTCTTCCAATTATTGAATTCTTGTTGAAAATACTTTGAATTACAGGAATTACACCAATAATGACCCGTATTTGGTTGTTTACATAATCTACACAATCCATGCTTTTTAAATCGTCTTTTTGCCTCTTCATTTGGTATTAATACGTCAAGCA